ACTGCTGAGCGTCCCCTGCTCTGCCCTCCCAGGTGGTGACCTCCGATGTCCTAAGGGAAGCCCACATCCTCATTCTGCACACGGTGAGAGCCGACCTGCAGCTTGGGATCCCTCCGTCGCGCCCTCTCTCTCCTTGTGAACCCCCTCATGTTCCTTGTCCCGCCAGGGCCGTGACTTCTCCTTCGATGACTGCGGCCGGGCCTTCACCTGCCTCCCCGTGGAGGAGCCTGGCGCCCCAGCCGAAGCTCTGGTCTGCAACCTGGACAGCCTGCTGTGGACCATGACACACCGGGTCTGTGTGGCCTGCGGGATGGGGTCCTGGGCTTGTGTCGTGTGATGCTGGGCACCCGGGCGTGAGGGTGGGTTTGGCTCCCTCTGAAGCCTTCGGGGTGCCTTCAACAGGCACACAGCAGGGTGGAAAGGGTGCTGGGTGCCCTACAAGGGCCAGGCCCCTTCTGTGCCATCCCTGGGCACGTGGCCCTTCTCTCAGCAGCTCTGTGTGGGCTCCCCGCCTGGCGTGTGGGTCTGCAGCACCGACATGCTCCTCACCATGCCCTCAGCACCAGGTGAGTGGGTGCCAGCCTTGCCTCCAGCACCCGCTTTTGCTCGGGACAGGGGTCAGAGCCACCAGCACAGCTGGTGCAGCCTGTACCATGTTCCCGTGAGAGTGTGGATGCTTGAGCATTGCTGACCCATGTGTGGTTGGCAGCATCTGTTGTGCAGCAAGGTAGCCGAGCCTGGATGCTGCTGTCACCGCCTCTGCCATGGGCCTGGTTTTCAGGCAGTTGTGCACTGCCCCAGTAGGCACTGGTCTTTGTCCCTCTCCACAGGGATCGACTGGGATGGCTTCCAAGGCGTCAGAGTGATCGCAGTGCCTGGGAGCCAGGTGTATGCCAGGAACCATGGGGTCTACCTCACCAATGAGCAGGTCACGAGCAGCTCTGCCTTCAAGGGACATCCCTTGGAGGCACAGGGGTCCCCATCCCTTTGATCCCTTGGGTGCCAAGGTCCCAGCCCTGCTGTGGCTGCTTGGCTTGGGGCTCCCTGAAGCTCATCGAGGTGATCTCGCTCCCAGGGCCTGGTGCGTGACATCATCTACAAAGGCACGGAGGCCCAGATCCAGCAGTGTGCAGGGCCCAATGGCACCGTTCCACTGGTACAGCACGACTCGGGCATCTGTGGCCCTGCCAGCCCCGTCCCTCATGTCACCATGGCCATGGCTTCAGCCCCGTTGTGCCCTGGCAGGTCTGTGGGGTGGTTTTCTTCTCTTCAGATGCCGCCGAGCAGCTTCTGGCCACTCACGTCATCCCTCCTCTAGACGCCTGCACCTACATGGGGCTGGACTCAGGGGCACCACCCATCCAGGTGACAGCCTCTCTGTGGGGGATGGGACCCCTCGCCCCACAGGTGCTGCTGCTGGGCATCTCTGTAGGGCCTGTTTGCCCCCACACTGCCAGATTTGGGTGGGAGGGGAGCACAAAGCAGCAGGGTGGGGGTCAGGGTGGATGCACCCAATAGGTCCCTTCTCTCCCCAGCTCTCCCTCTTCTTTGACATCGTGCTGAGCATGGCAGGGGGGATGACAGAGGAGGATTTTGTGAAGGGTGGCAGTGACGCCAGCGTGAGGAGTGCCCGCTCCGTGCTGTGGACAACTCTCCACGCCTTCCCTCTTAGCATGGGTGAGTGATGTGGTGGTGGGCGCATGCAACATGACCCATCCCTGAGCCCACCTTCCCTGCACAGGGAGAGATGGTGTGGGCAGGGCCTGGCACCCAGCCGTTTCTCCCAGCTGTGGGTCCCCACATCTTCCCACCCCGTCAACTGGGGATGTTCAGCCTGGCTGCCTTTGGCTCGTGCGGGTGTCAGGTGCACCCATATTTGCCGTCGGTGTGCTGACAGCTCTCCTCCCTGCCCCCCCCCAGCCTGCATCCCCGATGCATCTTACGACTATATGACCACCTCTGCGAGTGACCACATCCGCAGCCTGACACTCCTGCCGAGCTCTGCCAGCCACCTCCGCTTCTGCAAAACAGCCCATTCCCATGTGGATGTACGTCCTGCCATCCCTGGCCTTGCTCCTGCCTGTTTTTTGGGGATTGCTCCGGGCTGCATGGCTGGACCCCAGTCCCACGTGCCTCTGTGCCCCTGGCAGCAACCCTGTCTCCTGGAGGATGGCTCTTCAGTCACCAACTGCCTCCTGGAAGGAGCCGTGCGGCTGGCAGCTGGCAGTGTCATCCAGCACTGTCACCTCCAGGTATGTGGCTGGGGTGGGAGTGACGCTGAGTTCTCAGTGCACTGAATGGGCAGTAGGGTGAGGTGGCCCTAGCTGGGATGGGGGACCCACGACTGTGAGATTTGGGGTGCCCTTTCTCTGCAGGCCTGCCTTTCATCTGGTGCTGGGGACCCTGGTGGCTGTCACCCTCCCCAGGCAAGGGGAGGAGGCTGTCACCACTGGGCTGTTCCTCCCTGGGGACCAGGGCAGACCCTCTCCATGGGGGCTCTGTCATGGCTGTGAGCAGTGGAGGCTGTCACTTGGCCTGAATTTCTGCAATCCATGTCCCTACAGCCCCGTGACAAAGCAAAGTGTGTCCCTCTGGCACTTGGCTCCTGCTGGCCCCAGCTTGTCTCCTGGGGTGATTGTCCTCTTCTGAGGTCTGGATCTGCCCCTGGTTTGAGGTCTGCTCTGGGGCCCAGCCATGCCACTCAGGGCCCTGCTGCCTCTTCTGTAGGGTCCCCTGGAGATCGGTCCTGGCTGCCTCCTCTCCGGGCTTGCCTCAGGCTCCTCACCAGCCCTGCAGGGCTGTCCCCTGCGCGACGTTGTCCTGCAGGGTCACCACGTCCAGCTGCGGGACCTGCCCTGCCGCGTGTTCACTCTCACTGGCCGCCTCGACGACTGGCAGGTATGGGGGTGGCAAGGTGGCACGAGGCTCCCTGTGAAGTCGGGGTGTAACCGGCCCCTCCGGCCCCATGCAGAGCCCTGCTGAAGAGGCCACCTACCTGAATGTGCCCTGGGCTGAGTTCTTCCATCGGACAGGCATACGGTAGGTGTCATGTGCCAGGATGGGACAGGAGACCTGGCTCCCTTGGGGATGGCTGCAGTGGGAGGTGTCACAGCCACCCTAACCCATCCTGTGTTCCGGCTCCCCTCCTGGAAAGTGTCCTTGAGCCCCAGGGCAGTGCTGACAGGCTCCCTCTCCATCAGGGAAGGGGACCTTTGGGATGCCGAGATGCCACGTAGGAGCCGCTGCCTGCTCAGCGCCCGGCTCTTCCCAGTGCTGCACACCTGTGAGGTGCTGGGGCTGGAGGACGTGCTGTGGCTGCTGGCCCCGGCGGCGGTGGCAAGC